TTGTTGAGCCAATCTTTGGTGTCGTACTGTTCACGCCTTTCCACTCGTTCTGTACGTTGGACTTTGATTTCGACAGATTTCGGCTTGTTGTCCTTAATGAACAATCTCGAATACTATTTTCAAATGACAATTCCTCTCAACTGGGTTCACAACAAAGAGAAGGAACAAAATTCCTTCCCCCGTGTGTAGGTTCGTCGGAACGTTGTTTTGAAAAGAAAAGGAAAACCAAGGAAAAATCAGGAAGGAACACAACACAGAAATTGCTAAATCATCCAGTTCTAGCTTGAAAAGGTCTCTTGAGACACTTTAGTCGTCAGCATATCAGCTCGAAAGGGCAACAAAAAGAGCATAAGGTAGTGAAAGACTACTACTGCATACCCAAATACTTGGTCAATCAGTTGGTAACTTTAACCTTTTCATTTGAGTGTTGTTTTTGTTTTTTGTCTTCTTTGTAAACAAACATGAATGAGCTAGCAAGCTCAGATGAAGCTCACAGGAAGAAGGTATAACTTACTATTTTGTTAGAGTCCGAGTTCCTTGTCATGCTTCCCAATTGGGCGCTTGTCCCGCTCATCGGAGATAAATCATCTGAAATCGTGAAAATTGTTACAGGATGCCATCTTCAAAGAGTTTTTAATGCCCAATGAAAGGCTTCAATAGGATTCGGTTCATCTACGTTGATTTTGCTTAATTCGCAAAGAACTAGCTGAATCAGAACGATCGGACTTCTGTTTTACCCCCTCGAAATCCTGTAGATATGGACGAAAACTTCATTTACGATGTTGTAAACTGTTTCTTTGGGCCTTTTTCTGGTAAGCAGATTTCCAACATTCCTTTGAATTTAAAAAGCCTTAAAAATGAAATTATGAACCAGTTTAACTGGGGCAAGGATCCTGCTTGAGACCAACCATAAAACAAATGATCTACATCGGAATGTCGCCCAGGCCCAGGAGAGAAGTCTAATGGGGCTCTCTTTTCATGTGTAGTAAATAAATGGAAAAAGGGTCTCCCACACTTCACCAGTGAGGTCACACTTCACGTCTGTTGCTGTTACCACCACTCCTTTAAAGGGATGTAGGAGGGTTTACAGTGATCCATGCGATGTGAAGGGTCATCCACACTGTCTCAAAAAATCGCATTCATTAACTTTAACAAATACAGGAAGAAATAGCAATTTCTTTGCCATTCATGGAAAAGACACAGTTTTTTCTTTCTGAAACTCCCTGACTGGACTCTTTCTCTGAAAATTTTCAGCCAGAAAGATTTTTAGTCCCAAGATCCTGTGATTCTGGGATGATCTTTGGAAATGAAGGATTTCAAAAAGTATCGAGTTTCGAGGAAATAAAAAGTGTCCAAAATGAATAATCTTACCGATTCAACCGATAAAGTTACCTCTGACATCACGTCGGAGAGGCGAGGACGTCCAACGATCTCCAGTATGACTATCGGAAATAGAAGTGACTGGGGAAGATGTCATAGAACCACCACGATGCACCGCTTTCCCAGATGTAGTCGTTGTACTGAAACGTCTCGCGATTCAGACGGGTTAGGTAGGGGTGACAAAGATCTTGCTTGACCTACCTCAATGACGAACGTGCCAATTGTCGTTCCAACGGTATCTGGGAACGCGATTCATTTCGGAATTGCTCTCGGAATCGGCCATCGAACGCTGCGATGTGTGCCCTAAATCGTTCATAATATCATAATAATTATAGGGATTACTAAGAAATATCGCCATTTGATGGGGGCACCATCGCCTTTATTATTCCCTCCCTCGATTCATGCGGAAACCATAAAAAGCCGTTAGGTTGTTCAAGCACCTGCGTAGATCCGGTATCGGCGACGCTAATTACGGTCGGATTATGCATCTGAGGACGGTCAATCAATAGACGGAGGGGAAAGGTGTGGAGAAAGCCAGATCGATCGTCATTAGAAGCACCTGGTCCCTCAAGTATGGGCGATTTCGTTCTCGAAATGCGAAATGTCCTCGAAATGAGGATGACGCGCCGGGTGAAAGTGAAGGAGGATAACGGAGGGTAAGTAGATTCAATCACGAGAGTGCAGCCTCAGTTCGAGTTACCTTTCTATTTCAATCACAGAACCTGTCATGAAAAGAAGTTCAATGAAAGTGACAGCTTTGCTGCCCAGTAGCGGTTGGGTTAACCCTAATGTGATCGGAGAAGTGGGGCAGTAAATGATGTTCATGGGTTGAGGAGGTCAACGACGGATTAGTGATGACAACGAACAATCAGTGTCAGAAGGAGACGATGATCACGGTGAGAAATTCCTCGGAATCAAATTCTTTATCAAAGGAACCTATCAGCACCCTCTGCCTTAGCTCTCACCCCCTAAAAACGGGATTTAAAACAAAAGGTTAGGCCTCTCAACTTGGCGAAAGAGGTCCCAGTCGTTCATACGGGAAGAGGGTCACGCACGCAAAAAATGTGAGGAGTTTATTTTGGAAATCATTCGGTAAACATTGATGGATTTTTTGTGTTTGAGCTGTGAACTCTTCAAAGTGTAATGTACACCAACGCTCGGAGAAAAACGAGAATTTCCCATTTGAATTTTGTGAATAGCAAGCTAGTTGGAATTTCATCTAAATTTTGCGGTCACAATAAAAAAAATATTTGTTGTATTCAATTTGACAGGGAATGGACATTTATGCAGAGCTTCATGTCATTTACTTACTGCCGTAGATGCTATCACCTCAAGAAGATAGCATTATTAGTTAGGAACTTCTGGACTTTCGTTTCAAAAAGTGCATCATCCCATAAAGCAGTGGTCTTCACAAACACTTTATTTTGCCAACGAGTAGCCTACATCGTCCCCATTCGCCTGACCGTTCTCGTTCCGGCTACTGACTCTTCAATAATCCCTATGGATGGCTACGGGGACACCGATTTGACTCGATCGAAGGGATAAAATCTAAATCGATGGCAGTATTGGAGGCCACTTCGGGAAAAAAAGATGTAACTGTTTTGCGACTTGGAAAAACGATGACATAAATGCGCTACATCGAATGGGAGTATTCTGGTTGCTAGGAAACATATGGGAAAGAAAATACGGGTTTCCTTCTGTTAGCAAAGTTCACTCTGTTTCTTGACCATGGTGATATACAATCTCCAACCCCTCCACCACCGATTGTTGTGCTTCCTTTAGAATGGGTAGGTGAGAGGCGTTTCTCAGAGTGAAGTTCAAAAGGGTCTCCTTGACAGGGCCATTCTGACCGTACTTCACTATGGACAGGGTACGGCAAGGCAGGAACGCATATTCCCTACTTTGCCAGCCAACACTCAAAAGGACCCGATTACATTGACACTGTCTCAGCGTTACAAAACGTATACCTTACTTGGCTAAAACATAGATAAAATAAAATGAAATAAAATTGGCCGAAAATACTGCTGTAATTAAATAAGCAAGAGAAAAAAGGATAGGAATGAATAAAAATACGACTTTTTAAATTTTTGAAGCAAATAAACAGTAAATAAAAAAGGCAAATTACAAACAAATGAAAATAAAATAAAACATATAAGCACAAAAATGTTTTCCAAAGATTGATGTCATTGATTTGTTGCAATATTTCAAGATCCCCTTCGGGGGTTGAGGACCTACCGATTACTCGATAAAAAGTAGCTGAAGAACATGGTCCCGTAAAACTAAGTGGAATCAAGATCGAGGTCCTTATCTTTTTCATATTCACTTGTCCCCCAAGGGGGCGCGGGGGGGGGGGGGGGGGGGGGGGAAAGAATATAGAAACCTTCATGACAGTGTTGGGAAGGTGTTGTTCTTTCAGAAGTTTCTTTGCCTTCTACAAAACCCACCCTAATTGTTCAAAAAAACACGAAATTTTCGTTTTTTCTCTGTAACTAGACTGGCTTGCACTTTTTCTGAATGGTATGCTATATGATTCAACTCAGATTGTCGAGCTCTACGGAGTGGTGTCCAAATAATAATGAAAACTTAATTTTGAAGTCCTCCATCCATCAAAGTCCCTGAGAATACGTCATTAGCAACGATGCCCGCTATAATTATAACCAGAAGGCATTCTCTTCTGTTGGAAGTAGTCAGTGAAACGTGGAGTAGCTAGTATTTCCCGACTATGGCATTCCTCAGATCCTCTTTTTCCAAAAAAACGCGAAATCGCGTTTTTTCGTGTTATTTGGAAATTAGTGTGGGTATTGTATTCTTCACAACACCTCTGTCCTTCCAGATGGTTTCGTAAAAAAATACAAAGTTGCTCCCTTCGAATTCTCGGAATCATCAGCATCTGTTTTGCAGAGACGGTTTCGTCCTACCTAACCATTTACTTGATCGAATTAGGCCAACGATTATGCCCCATTCTCACGCCTCGTTTCACATTTTACCTTAACCAATTCCCATAGAAGCATAATGGCCCATCTTCACGAGACCTTCACATTGACTTTTAGGACAGTCCCAACTACCGTAAGTTGGCTTTTTCTCGCAGCACGTAGGCTTCGATCGAATGCTTGGGAAATGATCAAAAATTTTCGGAGAAAGACTTCATCTTCCCGTTAGTGCCAGAAAATTCAAAGAGAGAAGTTCAAGGAGACGGCCCTCCGAATAAGCACGAATTCAACAGCTTTTCGAGATGTTAAGGTACTGAGAATATGAGATTAAGTGGCAGCTTATGGATGACGCCAACCCAAAAACTTCAAAGGAAGGGCTTCGTTGCTATAAACCCGTGCTATTCTGAACAGACGGCTTGGTCAACTTCTCGAAGACACTGTGGGAAGCTTCTCATTTTTCAGGACTATCAGCCTTTGGAAGGAAATCACCTGAAGGGAACCTTGGAAACTCCGAATTTAATGACCTTTCTGCCTTCCATCCTATTTGTCTCACTTATTTACAAAATCCCATTCCCTCCGTGGCCGTCTCTTCCCATGATCTGCCACTCCCAGTTGAAATGGTGAAAGTGAATTTCACGGTGGTAACGCTGGCAACGTGTCAATTACTGGAGACGTTCAACCGTGACAACCGCTACAGTGGGATCGTGACGATAATTGCACTTTGCGTGTTCATCAACTGACACGATGACGACGACGACGACAACGACGATGCAACCTCAACAACCAGTTATGTAAAGCCATTATGCGGTTGAGACCTTGGTGGAGTGGTTAGAATGGCGGAATAGCTGAAATCGCCGCTATATGCAATACGGCGACATTGATAGCCGCTAATCTAGGAGGTCGTTATGGGACCGGAATACTGCGTATGTCATATGGGGACACGATGAACAGCAACTGCAACTATTATAGCGGCTGGAGATGAACGATGATGAACAGACATGATAGGTGGTTGCCAAAGTGCGGTAGTGGTGATAGCGGTGGTGGCAGAAACCGGCTATAGCTGATTACGTCAACCAATCAGCAGTGACATGTGTAAGGCTTGAACGTGCCTAATTGGTTAACTGATAGAGGGGGCCAATAAACTGGTCCCATCCAATTTCTCCCGAACCTCAGAATGGGCGGGAGTACTCTTTGGAATTTGAAGAATGAAGGTACTCATCTCCGGTGGATGAGTTTTTACAAAAGACACAGAATGGCACTCGAAACCCTTCATAAAAGTGTTTTTTTCGTAGTCGAGGTATTATTAATCGATGGATCTACTGAACAAACGTCCTTCATGGAATGCGCCATGCTCCGTGTCTCTCTTTAGATTTGTAGCTGTATTTGAATTCATGATTGAGGCTAATAGCGCAAACTTTTGGTTAGCACACTGGCGAAGTGGACTGAAGAGCTGACCAACCAATGTTTGCAGAGCACTTCATTGTTGAAGGACCACGGTATTACACCTTCTCTAAGTGGATCAATAAAACTCATCTGCACAATGTACACATGGGATAGCTAGCAGATCGATAAGCAAAAATCCCGTAAAAGGAAAAAGTCAGCCTTACTCGAAAATGGCGCCCCATTTCATGAGTTAAAACTTACATGTTTGAGTCCCATCCGGGGCCGAAAATTTGTCCACCTCGCGCCAACCTTATGAGACTTGCAGGAGAGCTTGAACCATATGAAGTGTTTGCAGGAGCATACATTCTTAAAGTTATCTTCATTTTCCTCCAGCTACTTGGCAGACTCCGCTGGAATAGGCCTACGTGGGGCACGCCCGCTTACTACGACTAGGTATCCGGTCCTTCAGAGTATCATGTGGCCGCACTCAAGTTAACGGATGTCTTCGAGCTTTTCAGTGGCTCAAGAAAATGCAAAATATCGGGGCCTGGAGACAAAATCGAAATGAACGTGGGCTTCATACAAAACTGGGTAAAAAAGCCCAGACAAGATGGGATGCCAGATGATGCCAAGTACGTCCCGAGATGCTCCCCTATATCAAATTACGGAATGATAGCATGCTAAAAGGGTTCCGAGTACAGCAAGTGGATAATTTTCTGTAAGAACCAAGTCCTCCATAAGACAGTCGAAAAGTAAAAGGTCCTGTTTGTTACAGTAGATCTGCTAAAGCCCTCCTTCAAAGATCTCGTGAGCGACGTTTTTCGCTCTGATTGTGAGTCATCGACGATTCGATCTTTATCGAATGTCGTTCCCATGCGTCGCCTACGTTAGCTCAACCCGCGAAGAGAGTCTGCTCAGGCGTCGAGCCCCTCTTGATTGTCAAAGCGGAGATGTGTGTGCGAGGCTATTTGCACTCATCGCGACTTCAGTTCCATACAGGGTTGACTTGGGATCCCTGCAGACTCCTCCTCATGCTTCCACTTGCAAACAGCCGTCACGACGATCACGCTAAGAAGTTGCTCGAACAAAACGGACCCGTCTGGTGCTAAAAAGTGCACTTAACCTTGTATGCCATCTCTCTTTCACACTCTTCATTGTTCACGATTCCCGGAAGTTCTTCATTAGAACGGTCTTAGTAGAACCGATTCCCGTACAGATAATTACCGTAAGTTCCTTCGTGAGAAGGAAGTAACGGTAGGTTTTCCATTCCTTATTAGCTACGATCTAAAGTCGAGGTAAAAGAAGGGTTGGAGGAGGTAGGACTGGACGAGAGAAATGAAGTGCTCTACTAGACCTCATTTTCTGGCAGTTTCCTTGAACAGATGCTTTGTAGCATATTTTGGAAAAGTCGAGCATTAACTGTTATGAACGCCGTAGGTATCCCTATGGGCCAACCATGCTTTCCATCCCTCCGGGGTTGAAGGTGATTGGCTGATTTGTGAGGATAAACGCATTGATCGGGCATCGGTTGGGAATCTTAAGTCATTGTATAGGTCACTTACCCAATTAGAAAGGTCCCTAGGAATCTAAATGAAGAGGGAATGCCATCGTGGAGATTCTGAGATGGGATTATCAACGCCAAAACTCTTCTGGGCTTTCCATGCAGGTGTTAGGTGTCAGAGGTGAGTCGTCATCCACGACAGGGTCCCGACAGAGGTCCAATTTGTAGAATCCACGAATTGCATAGCAATTTGTTAATATAAATCTGAAAGTTTCGTTTGCTTCGTTTTTTCCCGAAGTCCGACCTCCTCTCAATCCTCAGCCATTCATCATATGACCGTGGTGAAGGGTGAGGGATGAGACGAGGTCAAGCATAGCGATAATTGACCGTGACCGGATTCAATCCATACAAAGTGAAATCGCAGCTGTGCTATGCTCGACAAGGTAGATTACCGTCTACCAACCCCATTCCATTTCGATGATTACCCAATCATGTTATAGTTAAGGTTTTCTGGCGGAAAGCAATCAGTCGTGAAGATCAAGCCTTCAGTTATGGGCTAGACCGACATATGGAACAGGCAGGTTTAGCCAGGAGGGGCGCCCCTTCGATGGGGCTCGAGACAAAACCGATTCGACCGACCGTTTGTCAATTCCGATTTGTCCGACTCCGACTGTCCGGCCAACTAACTTAATTAATGGATTCCCACTTTTTGAGTACTGCGAGTGGGTGACCATTATCGCTATTGTTGTTCCGGATGCTTTGGCGTCTTGGGGAACATGAGGGATCGTGATCGACGACGTTCTCAGATTGTCATCCATCTTATACGAAAACATAAACGACGTCAACCAAAAAAGAACTACAGAATGCTCTTCATCAGATTCACACAGTCGCTGCACTCGTCAGGCAACTTAGGACAACGGGGAGTATTTGGAAGAATAATTGGAAGCGTATTCGAATCAGGTTCATGGGCAAAGGCGAGTATACAAAAAGAATCTCCCATTCAACGACTTTAGGATGATTGGCTAAATCTAACCCGAACACGTTCATTAGAGGAGAGTTTTTTGTTTCGAGAGGTTTTCGATTTTCATGTTCTTCACCCTTCATTATATTCGTTGAGAGGGAGGGACCACTGAGAAAATCCATGGGCGATGATACGGGCCTATCGCTGTACCAGAACAGAATCCGCCTACGATTCCTCGAAGTCTTCCGCCGGTATATCAAAAACAATGGTGTTCACCCAGCATTTAGCCTGGAGTCTGGAACGGATTCCCCCACCCCACATCTCTGCCATCCTTATGATCCATCTGGCAAGGGACTGCATCGGATTGCCTACCCTTCGAGAATGTAAGGCACGTCAGGGATATGCCGGTTTGGTGGTGTTACACACGCCTTTTGGACCACCTCTGAAATTCTCGAGAGGAACGGATCCATGGCTTGTACCTAAGTAATCGGTCGGTGTCTCGAAGTTCCCCCCCCCCTCTCCCCCTTCCCCTCGTCCCTAAACTTCTCCAATCTCCATTAGGTACACATATAAGAGATGGGCGGGGGGAATCGGTTCGTGCTTGCTGCAACCTGAGTTGACTTTCAAGTGACGCATACCTCCTAACTCATACTGCACTCAACAATAGTCGAAATACTAGCCTTTTAACTGCTCCGAGGAGTGCTTTGGTTCGGCCAACACAAAAGCATCGAAACCTGCTTCAACTTCGCTCAGTGGAGTTGTTTATTCCAAAAGGAATTGTCAAATAACATCAAGGAAGTGCTGCGGGCGGCGGGTGTGTTGTGAATAGTCAACGGAACGGGGCTAAAAACTAGCCTTTCAAGGATATCTACACTAGTCAACTTAGAGATGACGCTAACGATGCTGTCGTGCCACTGTATTGTCCGGTAAAAAGCTGTGGGTATAAGACAGTAATCCGATCGTTTATGTAGTAATAGACATGAGTGCTGATAAAGGATGATAGAACTAGTTCTCGAATCAGACAACTCGTCCGAATCCCGGAAGAGATATGAGAAATCATGAGGGGATTCGGTCGACTGTATTCTGTGCTCCTACCTTTCAGCTTAGAATGGTCAGAGTTGAAGAAGAGAAAAAGTGAAATCGCCATAAATGGGCATATGAGAGGCAGAGAGGCATATGAGCAGTTAGACGAAAAAGACTGCCATAGGTTTCGGCCGCCGATGATGGAAAACCGATGAAATTCGAAGTTTACGACTCTGACCGATGTTCAATGATTGCCAAATCTGTCCGTTTCTGTTTTTAGGTGGCAATTATAAATGAGTTAGGAAAAGAAAGGTGCAGGTGCAAGGGGCGGTAGGATAGGATTACATAGCAGAGGGCTGCTGCTGTCAGTTGAACAGGATCCGCTGGATTCACTCGGAACAAGCAATTTGCGCGAACACTTTCTTTGAAACTGAGGAAAAAGTGAGATAGCTGGATGTATGTAGGTCGGGAAGGCGTCCCCAAGGAGTATGCCAGACTTACGACCAAGTCTGAATGTTTCTTCTGGGTAAGGACGTGAAACAGCCGTTGTAGACTCGAGCNAACAGGATCCGCTGGATTCACTCGGAACAAGCAATTTGCGCAAACACTTTCTTTGAAACTGAGGAAAAAGTGAGATAGCTGGATGTAAGTAGGTCGGGAAGGCATCCCCAAGGAGTATGCCAGACTTACGACCAAGTCTGAATGTTTCTTCTGGGTAAGGACGTGAAAGAGCCGTTGTAGACTCGAGCTTCACCCAATCTACAGAGGCACATGGGATCCCTGGTTCCGTTACTCATCTCTGCCTTCATCAGACATGATAACATAACTATGCAAGGAATTGGAAATTTCCCAGACATCCTGTTTCTGGGAAGTTTCAGTCACACTCAGGTATGCCACCGAAAAACTCTTCAAGCTACACCGAACATTTATAATAGAGCACTTTTATTGCTTTCAGCCAAGATTGCCTTTTCAAGGTGAGCCTGTGACCAGCTTCCGGGATCAAAGCGATGCCGATAAATACCTTTCCGTTAGGACTTCTTTACTGGCCAATCTTTTTCTCATAGTGACATATTTGGACGGGTTTTCGGCTCTTTTATGTCTAACAAAATCCCATCTTTAGCAAAAGAATTAGAATCGTTATTTTCTCTTAAATGCTCCCGCTCCTTCTTCTTCCTCCCAAGCCACACAACTTTTCTTTCACATTTGTTTTCACACAAAGAAAAGATTCAATCTAGGTCAGACTTTGTCGTCGTATGGTCCCGACGGTTACAAAGAATCACATTACTTCTAATGAATCCTGTATTGTTACTGCATGGGAGTTTACAAGGTCATCGAGTCGCACGGGTGAAAAAGGAGCCGTATTCACCGAAAAACTACTCATCATTAACAGAACAAGCTTTCCCATTGGAAGCTCCGGGAATAACCTGCCGTCCGTTGGACTTTTTCGTATTCTCCACAGTTCAGAAGGGCGGATCGACTAGCTGCGAGATCGAACCATTAGGTTTTGTGGGGCTTGTCGTTTAGGCTTTGATGATTCACTCCCCAACAGGATGATATCGAAGTGCATTCGAAGGCAGTCAGACAAAACTGAGACCTCGTCCAGCGGGGTATGAGTCTCCCGCCAGAAGAAAATGACTCATCTGACCATGTCCCATCCGAAAAAGACGGCGCTACCGTTTGTTTGGGTTGAGGCCGTTGGTATGATGAGATCTTCGACGGCTGTTCCCAAGGATCAGACAGAGTCTGGCTAGGTACTGATGTCCTGGTTAGCAGCGGAATGGCTCCAAGGTATACGGAAAGGGACAGCGAAACTCACGATTACAGCGAACAGAGAAAAACGGGAGTCAGACCTAATCAGAACCAAGATTGGATCATCAGTGAAAATCTGAAGAAGCCTCCAAAGTTCGAATCTATTCCCAGGTATGAGGAAGAACTCGCAGAGAGTAAGACGGCGCTCCAAACCTTACAGGTGGGTCCAGGGCTGGGTGGGTCCCAAGATGTCCTTCTGGTACCCGCGGAAGCTTCCCCAGTTTGAAAATTTCATTAATGAAGTATCCCCGGCTGCTCCATGAGAATTGCTGCCACCCACGGAATTCGAAATCGTCGGAAATAGGCAGGGCGTGTCTCGGTAGGTGGGTGAACGGGTATCCGAAAAAGCATATCAATGATACATAACAAATCGTCTCGCTATGAACCTTCTCCGTTCGCTTTTTCTCCTTCCATCAGTCAAATTCCGATTTTTTGAAGAAAAGCGTTCTGATGGGCAGATTTTTTCACGATTTTCTACGATCGTGATTCTGATTGTGTAATGCCACCACATTGGAACCAAAAAGAACGTTCGTAGAATCCAGCTCTATCATTTTTTTTCTGCTATGGAGACAAATTTGTCCGCAATCAAGCCAACCCTTCATCATGGAGAGCTCGTTTGCCTTAGAACAGGAACAAAACGGTAGCTATCTGCCCCAGACCCTCTCCCTATTACAGTAATCACGATCGGCCCACAATAGTTATGAGGACATAAGAATCGTCACCCTTGGAATCTTAGCAAAGCGAGTTTTTCCGTCCCCGTGAGCATAGCCCTAAACGCGTTAACCTGAATAATGGCTTTCCAGTTAGAGATGGGTGGTTTATAGTAGGCCATTAAAACATCGTAAAGACGGCGTTGACGAGATCTCCTAAACCAAGGAAACGACATGTATGACAGGAGCTTAACGGGCGATGACCATTGTTTTCTCCCTGTCCAAGGGACGACCATCCAATTTCGGATGGATGAAGGACAAATCATACTCTGTGGGAAGTTCCGGCAACGGGGCAGCAGTCCCTACAGGGAATATCAGAATGTCGAACATACTCCAAATCTACCTCGAAATTGCCATTGGGATCTTCCTGGCCCCTTTTCTAACCTCAGCAAATCCCGAACAAATCCAAATTGCACGTATACGATCTTGGGGAGACTTTACAAGAATGTCAACCCATAAAAAACCCGAAAGTGGTGTCAAATTGGTAGAGGTGGTGGCCGCTCAGGTCGGTTGGTGCCCCGGCCAAGGTCACCCACCAATGGCTGAACCCGGCCATTGTCTCGGGCTCAACAAAAGAACGGTACGACCCAGGTCAGGTGGCGGAAAAGTCATCTGTGTGAAGAAAGATGTCTGGAGATTCTTGGAATTGATTTCCAGTAAATACAATCAAGTAACTGCAGAGTAAAAAGTGCCGACGATAAGAAATACACTGCGATAAGAGACCAGCGATAGAATGGCGTCATAAAGGTGAAAGATTTTTGTAAAAGATAAGAAAATACTGCGAAAGTAATAGAATTTTACAGACCTGTGAAGATCGTCAAAGGACATCGCTCTACTATACTGAGGTGGAGGTGGCATCGGCCTCGGTTGAATGAACATCGCTTGAGGAGGTGGTGGAGGCATTGGACGACCACCGATCTTCTTCAGTAGCTTCTGCTGCTTCTTTTCCATTTTTTCAAGCTTCTTCATTGTCTTAAGATCAGGTGGAAATACCAATTGCTGCTGATGTTCGAAGTCTAAATGGTTCAACGACAACCGTGAACCACGCATACGCATACGCTCCGAGTCGCTCGGGCTCGTAAGATAGCCCGAATCAGCATTCAGACTGATCATGGAGCGCCTGAGATTTGGATGTGGTACATAGGATTCAGCGAAGGCACCAGGCGGTGGCCCAGTGAGAATTCGTTTACCATCGTAGGGCATAGAAGACGTTGCATAGGCTGGATAAGGACCATGGGTCCATGTAGGTGGTGGCAGATAGTGACTGGAGGAGCGGTTGCCCATCGCGAAGCAACGTCGCGAGCCGACTGACGCCGTCGCTCCGCCTCCACTCCCACGGCGCGATGACGGCGGTCAACCAGCCAAGCGCTAATTGCGATCCGCTTGCTCTCTCGTACGCGTAATTACCCGAATGACGTCATCAGGTGTTTGTGTTTTCCTGGAATTCCTTTTGGGAAGATCCCGAGTAGGTTGTAGTTGCAGGCACACCGTAGGTCCAATTGAAACTGAAAGGAAGAAAAGTATTTGATTGACTGCGAGAGAAATGATGGACGGTAACTGGTCGCGATATTCAGTCGGCACAAAAGTGAAACGACTCTTTCGGACAAGAAAAAGGATCTACTCTTAAAATTTACACCAGCAGACACTGGATGACGTTCATGAGCAGTCGTTGAAAGCCCTAAAAACCTCACGCTGGGCGTGACCAAGTGTGAAACTTCCAACGGTCATTTTTATAACCTTAGTCCTAACTTGATTGGCAGCAAATGGAAAGCGATAATCATCCCAAACACAAACAATCTGGGAGTGGTTCGGTGTTGTACGCAATCGTAAACATAAATACCACTCATTCCCATAATCCTATTGTAAAAGATTACCCCATTCGTCTGCCCCAAACAGTGACAGGAAACTCATGACAAATAGTTCTTCACTCTGGCGGAAACGTGTTATAGAAAGGGTCTGAATGGGGTTTGAGGCTTATCCTCCTCTGGGTAAGGCTTAGCTTGAAGCTTATTTGATTTCATAGAAAAGGCAATGAAAACAAGAACACTTCGCTTGCATATGAGAGAAAAGTCAGACTCGCTGCTGTTATTATGTCCTTCAGGATGGAGGTGGTGTGGAGCGAAGTGGGGCCTACAACAGTGTGATCAGGCGATTCAATCCAGGATCAAAACCCGCTAACCGGCTTGAGGGCACAGTCCAGGGGATTATTTTCTGAGTTTTCTCTCAATGGGATGGATCCCTGGTTGCAAGGATAACAGATGAGCCGGTGCTATAGTTCGAAGAAGAGCCTTAATAGGGCGTAATAGACACCCAGAAGTGGCTGTGTTTCAGCGACTTTATATGGGCTGCACTGTTCACCCTGAAGCTATATGCTGGAAATTCAAATAGCCGAACGTCAGGAGCTGTGACTCATGGCCATTGGAAAACAATTTTTGGCATTTCTTGCATACTGCTGTAGCACGCAAGCTCACACTGCTAAAATATCGTCCAAATACGTCCTCCACAGTACATATGTATTCGTCATAATCTCGGAAACCACCTGCATACCTCATCTGATCTTGAGAACCCTTGCACTTCGTGAATTTTGTAGATCTTCGCGATTTCTTACATTACTCTGCACCAACACTGCCCTTATTCGAAAGGTACCTTGAATTTGTGGAGTGTGGCAGGAAAAGGGCGAACTCCGAGTTGGAACGAGGGTAATATCTGGCAAATTCCTCCTTTGTGAGCAACCTGGGGAGTGTAACACTCGATCGTTCTGGCTATCCGAGCATTCAGAATGATAATTTGGTAGGTCAAACTCCCTGAGAATCATAGACGGTAGAAGGGCAAAGGCCTCCTTATCATCTGATCCTCCAGTTCTTATTTATCTTCGCTGAACACCGGGATTCACGCACTGCTCAGCTTCTCCAGCCTGAGCTTCAGCTATCCACTCACAGAATTTCTTTTTTTTTTTTGGCAAAATTCTGAGAAATCTTTATAAGGGAACCGTTGCACTACCAATCACCTCCACCCTGTGAGTGGTCAAGAAAGCATGCCGCATTGTCCAAACATAGAACGTATCGGTTCGTATTGCAGCGCTTTCAGGCTTGCGTCACAGCAAACACTTCCTGGACACCACTGTCCAATGCGAGGCAAGGTAAAAAGGTTGAGGGAGTTCGGAGATTTTCCAGATGCTTCCGAAGCAAATGCTACGGACGCACGGCCTCCCACTCCTTTCTTTCTGATATTCGCTTCTTGTATGATTCCCTTTAGCGTTGTTACCAGTCACATACTTTTACCCTCCTGGATTCCAGAAACACCCTCACAAGCTTCTTGGCTTTGAGTATTATACTTAGGTACCTTGAAATAAACCTTAATTCACTATATTTTAGGATACTCGAATCACAGGCATCAAGTACAGGAGCTTTACTTCTACCGCTTCACTCTTTACTTCTTTATTCTAGTAGAGGTAATAGTCTAACGGGTAAAGCATGAAATCTCCTGGCTGGTCTGGGCTTCCTAAAATGGGAGCCCATTGAGTTTCCAATGCACTTCCGCATTCGAATCCCATTCAGAATCGTAGTGGCGACTTGCGGTAGCCAGGCGATATATTCATAAATCAGCACTATTATGCCGAAGCAGGACTGGTACCAAAAAACCGGAGACCGAGGAGAGAATAGCCTGGGCGGGTATCAACCACGGATTCGATCCAGAACCGATTACGTAAGATAATGTATCATTTGGCACTTCACCATCATCATCCTTAATACGTAGCAGCAAACTGGTGATCATAGATTAAAACCAAAAACTTTATACTTGAGCTTGGCCGAAAAGTTCCAAATCATTTTCTAAGCGTGAGTCTCCTAGTCTAACTTGTTGACCAATTCTTAACTTTTGCACATTTTTCTCGGTGACTGGACTTTTTGGAGCATTTTATGACCCGCTTCAAAGATTTGGCCGCATTTCTTTGGACCTCTTACCACTTTTACCCCAGCTTCTGGATTGTTTTTACACGGTCTTACGAATTTTTGATCTTGGCCCGCCCATCTTAGTGCAACCACGCCCACTTCAGAGGTTTGACCGCATTTCTTCTATAGCCTCTCACCACTTGTTTTACCCATTTTACATTTTTGAACAGCGATAAAAATTTTTTAAAGAGAACTTAGCATATGGATACACGCCCCGCCTATCGTGAGCTGAGCTTGGCTAGGTTACCCTGTGCACAAAAGTCCTTGCTCACTCTTTTCTTTCTTTTTCTGGCCCCCACGCTTCCGTATAATCGTGTATCGGGTCTATAAAGAGGGTTTCACTCAGTACAAGAACGCTCCGCCCAGCACAAAGAGGCGGAGCGTCTCCTTCATTTTACTTGTTGACCCATCTTCCACGTTTGCTAAGTTTCTCCCGGCGTCTATGCTGAAATGAAACCTATTTAAGGAGTTTTGCCTACGACACTTCGAAGGTGTTTCTTCAGGTAGTAACGAATTTCCGTACAAACAGACCGACCGATAGAAGGACAGACAGACAGACGCAAGCGCTGCATGTGTAGTAAGGCGAGATCGCTAGATGATAACACGTTTACTCATTCGCTTCCTCATTCATTGCACCAGACATTCGATGTCTTCACGACTACATACGACTATTTTCTTGTTTATGGCTAGATTACATCCGTCGCTAAAATTCTTTTCATACGATAAGAATCAGGTTTCCATTCAAACATCAGAGACTCGGAAAAGATCAAAGGATAGCTGTACCGTACAATTAGTCCCATCTGAAGCTAAAACTTGATGTTCATTAAGCATGGTTCTACTCTAATAGGCAGGCATGGCCTTACTGAATGATTCACTCCAATTAATTATGAAGGAGGGTAGACTTGTGGAATGCTGTCCCACACGAAGTGAACGCACATTCCATTGTTTCATGACGAACACTGGGTAATTAATTTCATTTTCTTCAGTTCAAAGCGAATCCATAAATTATTATCAGGTGTACAGATCTAGAATGCTGTGAAGGAAGCACTTTTATGGCCGATTCGCTGGCGACATCCATTTTCATGGTCCTGATTTAGCAACTCATGGGGATCTTCCAACTGGTGCAGGCATTCACCAGTACCTTACCCGCTTAGCACAAAATAGGGGTTTGAGTCTCGTCCGAAGCTGAAGTCCGAGTCCGGAGGTTTAGTCCGAGGTGGACGAATCATTCCTACGGTATCAATTGCTACGGAGTCTGAAAGAATGAAGCCTATTGGCGTTAGCAAATCTGGTCTAAGAGATGCGCCCATGCATTCGACTTCCATTCAGGATTGTAGTGGCGTCATTCAGTGCTTTTATCCTCCCAGACGAGTTTGGCTTCAATTAAGCGACCCCGGAGGGATAGAAGGTCGGTTGATCTAGGCGGATATCGATCCGAGATTCGAACCCGTGGCCATAGGGTGTGATAGGGAACTGCTGACTACTATACCACCGCTGCTTTTTGCTACGGCGTGGCTGACAAAAATTTCAGATACTTTCTAAGGACAACACCGATTAAGACATTTGTGCCGATTGCTGTTCTCATGCAAACGCCACCGGCTCTTGTGTATTACGAACAAAATGAAGTTGCTTCTTCATTCAGGTTATATAGGGAAGTGGGCCGAAACCTGCGGCGACACCACGGAAGTACCTAAAGTGTATCATCCGGAAGGTCTGATGCTGCTGAATGAGCTGCAAGACGTCATTGGCCGAAGCGAACAAAAGTGACTCACTAACCTTTTCTCTATCTACTCTTTTCTCTAACAATATGACCACTTTTGCTTTTTCAGCCTTTCGTAGCCATTCACGCCAGATTTTTAGGCGTGCACTGACCATCACTCACATGCTATCAACGGGCTCCGTAAAGCACCTCTTTCAGAACTGCATCGCGGTCAGTCGGGCCTTGCGCGAACGGCTCTACGCACTAATAACTAAAAACCAGCGTAAGGGCTACTTTAAGGGATGGATCAAATGCTTCTGTTGTATGTGCCTTCAAAAAAGCCTGAAGGTAAAGGAGAACGAGGACTATTCCCATAATCCTTCATCTTCAGGCATCGGTTTATCTCGACGTCCAACGCATTGTATCCCAGGAACTGCCGAATGGGAATTGGCCAGTAGCTTTTTTCCGCACAGTACGGGAAGATAATCTTCATTTTCCATTGCTACGCTTCAATCATACGAGAATTCCAACAAGTTTTGTGCAGATAGCAAGGACGACATTCTTTCGTTGCTTGTGCGATCGGGCACGGATAACATCTAATGCTATAGTGCACGTTACGGTCCGTCAAACACATG